TGGCATCTTTAGGGTTTTCTATGGACAAAATTAAAGTGTGTAGAAATAAAACTGCATCCTTGGGCTTACTCTTCAAGCGTGTGCCCTCCCTTGCACATGTATCTCGCTTACTTATCTCTGTTTTTCTGCTTCCCTATTTCTACTTTAGGGTGCTTTCTCTTGAAAAAATTCTTCTCTCTTTGATTCCCCTCACATCTTTCTAAATAAGTTTCGATAAAAAACTATCTTGCTTCAGGGGCTGGCGAGGTGGTACAGCGGTTAGGGTGCTTGCCTGGCATGTGACTGACCTGGAGTTTATCCCAGGCTTTTCAGAAGGTTCTCTGGGCACCATCAGGATACTTTCTGACTGCAGAGTCAGGAGTAAGCTTTGAGCAATTCCAGGAGTGGCACAAAAAAAAATAACAAAAATTCAAAAAAATGACTCCGTCTTTTGCCTTCTCCTGAAGTTATTTTCTGTGCGGGAAAATAACTGTGAAGGAAAGGTGACAGATTCACAATCCCCGTGCTGGGGCTGGAGCAATAGCACAGCGGGTAGGGTGTTTGCCTTGCATGCGGCTGACCCGGGTTCGATTCCCAGCATCCCATACGGTCCCCTGTGCACCACCAGGGGGAATTTCTGAGTGCAAGAGCCAGGAGTAACCCCTGAGCATCGTTGGGGGTGACTCAAAAAGCAAAAAAGAATGCAAAACAAACAAACAAACAAAAACCACCATACCCATGCTGAGATTAAGACTGATAGATTAAGACTGATTTGATCTAGGCCAGGCATTTCCCTGAGCACTGGTGACAGGTGGGTCGAAAAGAAAGTGGAAAGACTCTTTCCTTGGGTCTACTGCCATGAACCACCTATAAAAAAACCAAAATCATGAGCACCGCACTCAGCCTTTAGAGGAGTCTGCTGGGTCTACACTGGTGCTGAATAAACTGGATTTTTTTTCATTCTTCTGAGTATATGCCTTTGTCTCTTCCCTTTGCTGGGCTTTTCTGCAACTTGTGCAAAAGCAATGCTTGCCCTTTGAATTCTCTCTTCCTTGGCCCTTATATTTGAATTTCTGAACAACAGCAAAAGATATTTAACTTCTGAGAAAAGGCTGGCCCCAAAAGAATCAGATCTCCAGGGACTAGTGTGAAGAAACTTTAATTGCATGGGTAATCTCTTTTTTAAATCAATTGATAGGTTTAAGGGTGACCCTCGTTAGCATAAAAAGAATCAATACTGACCTTTAAAAAAAAAGAAGAAATGAAACTATATCCTTCACACAAAATGATTGTAGGGAAAGGAAAGAGATGAAGAGTCATCTGAGTTCTAAAAAGTAAGAAATAATTTCTATTGCACAGATTTTGGATTAACTTCTGAACAATACATGTTAATCCAACGAGAAGGCCATACTGGGAAGATTTTTGAAACATGTCATTTCCTGGTGGAATTTTTTCAGGAAAAGAGGAAAGACTTCCATATTTTATGAGAGACATAACTGTATCTAACCAATTTTGATTAAAGGTGGAGGTAATATACTATTTTAAGAAAAACTAGCCTGTTGCAAATTGATATTCAGAATGATGTCCATTTTTCAGAACACTAGCTGAGAAAAATTCAGCAGCCGCTGCAAATGTAACGGTCAAATATCCAATAACGTGGGTTTTTTGATTGTCAATAAGATGGAAAACAATTCTTTCATTTTTGTATTTCTGAAAGAAAATCAAATACCCAATGATAGTGATGAGAAAGAAAGACTCCAGCAATAGGAAAGTTGAGGTGGTTTGTTCTATTTTTAAACTCAAATCTCAAAATAAATTGAATAATAATACAATGGAAACAAGATCTCTCTAACCTGTGTCCTTACTGCCATATAACTGGAAGTCCTTATGTGAATTAACAGCCAGGCTCTTATTTATATACATGCTGTGCTGCAAAAGTTTTTTTTATTAACAGCCTTTTTGAAATTCTGTAAATTACTTACAAACATATTTCACTTTCCAGTCTAGTTACAAAATCTAACTTATTCAACAAACATTTACTGAACGTAATTGAACTCATGGGACTATTGAATAAAAGAACTGTGAGTCCAGGAGGAATGAAGAAAGCCCTGTCATGCAAAAAAAGGATTGGGAGGAAGAGAAGACACGCAGAGGAGGAAAATTACATCCTGCTGCATTCCCCTTATTCTGGCTACTCTCAATTTCCTGCATCCTTCCTTTCCCGAGGTCCCCTACCCACAGGTTGTATCATGTTTTTCTGTTCAATCCCCAATCAATCTGTATTTGAAGATTTCCCTAGCCTTCTGAATGACCCAAGTTTCAGAAGACCCAAGCAGACCCTTTGCCAATTCAGGAGAGAGTAATCTAAATTTAATTGCATTAGGTACTTAAATTTAAGTTTGCAAATCACACATAAAAAAAAAACCAAAAAACATTGTCCTCCTGTTGCGGGCCCGGTAACGTCTCCATTTTGAGATTTGTTGTTACTGTGTTTGGCATATCAAATAAGTCACGGGTAGCTTGCCAGGCTTTGCTGTGCGGGTGAGATACTCCGGGCAGCTTGCCAGGCTCTCTGAGAGGGGCTGAGGAATCGAACCCGACTCGGCCGGGCTGGCTGCGTGCAAGGAAAACACCCTACCGCTGTGCTATCGCTCCAACCCAAATCACACATAAATGCCCTGAAATATCCGGTTCTGTCATTATCAGCCACGTTGTTCTAAGTAAAATACAAAATCTAATGTGAAAGAATAAGATCCCGAGAGCAATTATATCAGTTAAAATTTTGCTCAGAGTTCTATGACATTTGAGAAATCATTTAACTGGCAGCATGTCAGCTATTCCTAAACTATAAATGGAGAAAAAAAGATAACCTAATTTATGTTGAGAAATTCTGCGAAATAATTAAGTGTATGGAAGCATTCCTGTACTGAGTAAGTGTTGACTGTTCCTGTTTACGACTGAGCATCTTACCACTCTGAGCATCTGCTTCCGAATCTGTAAAGGATGCTTTCTATTTTGAAGGATTATGATGAGTACTGAACTAACATGAAGTAACTAATGCAACAGAGTGTACTAATAAAGGGCAACAAATATTAGTCTAGTTTTATTCTTTCAATTAATCAGTGTTTACTATCTTGGGAACAGGAAAGAAAGTTTGCTGAAACTGATCCATGTGCTTACTAACTCTCAGAGAGTTATCTATATTACTATGGGACCACTTCTATATCACACAGGTAGGTATTCAGCTGATAACAGCTGAAGAGAACTACTATAAGACAGTCAACAAAATGCAGGAATACATAACACAGACAATACAAAGTGATGTCAGATGTATTAATCAGAAGTAGCTAAATTATTGCAATCTAATAAATTGAATCTTTTTTCAAATTGTTAAAGAAATATTTTTAAATACACTTTTCTATACTATTCCATTAACTGATTTACATTTCTTGTTAAGTTGCAATAAATGAAATTTTATCCTTTACCAAGTTATTTTTTACCCAATTTATTGGTTTAAACTTAATTCCCAAGAGTCAACCTACTGCAATTAAAATCCTTACTGTAGTTAAAATTTTACCATCTTTGAAGACTAGAAGACATTTAACATTGACTCCTTAAGTCATTTCATTAATGCTTAGAAAGAAATGCTAAAAGTTTCAAATAGGGTTATGAAATTGTATAATTCTGCCCTAATTTCTGCTAACTTGTGCTTCATCTGTTTTGAAGCACTATTAGTATGTAGATATGTTTTTACTTATTTTATGCTCCCCTGACTGAATATTTCATTAAAGAGTGACTTTTAATTTTTTAATAACAGTTATTGTCATAAAATACACCTGACTGATATGGATAAGCCCATTGCCTTTGCTTAATGTTTAAAATTCCTATTTTTATTTAAAAAGTTTCTTTCACTTTTTACTGTGAAGGCATTACATATAATGTTTCTTTGCTGTTACTTTTTTTTTTAATCTTCCTTTCTGAAATGATGTATCTTCCTTCCTGAGTCACCTATTCCTACATTTTCCTATTTTCTATTTATTTATATTCTCTTCTTGCTGTTTTATCATACTAGATCACTTTCATAACATATTTTAGCTAACTTTTCAAATACTAGTTATAATATCACCTATTTACTTGGTGTTTTCCCCATCATGTTACTTTTACTCTAACTTAATGTGTAGTTTGAATGAAATTGCATGTTGACTATTTACATCTCTATGTCATTCATTTTCATGTGAATGTCTTTATTCAGACCTTTAGAACATTATAGAGTAACCTCACAAAGATGTTTTAAGATTGCCTGACTGTTCTGCTGACTCATTTGTAGCTGGTCTTTCTTTTCCTTCCTCTATATTGTTCTTATATAATCTATTTGTTTGGTTTTGTTTTCATCTTTTTAAAATAATCCCAGCAGTTTCTCCTTTGTGTGGTTAATCATTTCTAAATTTCAAAGCACTAGATATATTCTAATTCCTTCAGCATCATTAAAGATAGGCATCTTGAACTGATCCTCATTTGCATAGCAAATGAGGATCCACCTCCAGGTGCCATTCTCCATTCGCCCAACATACTTCTTAGTGACCATTCCTTTCTTATTTTTGTTTGTTTTTACAGTTTTCCAGAATCAGCATTCCGATACTTTAATTTTGACTAGCACGTTCTAATATCTCAGACATAGCAGATTGTGCCTATAAATAATGCTAAAAGGGACAAGAAGGAAAAGAAACAATACTGACTAATCAGAGTTGAAATTCACTATACTTCACAGAAAGCTAGTATGGGAACTAGTTCTAGTATTTAGGTGTTATATATATAGTTTAAGAAAAGAGGCTGAGCCCAAGCACTTTCCACCCTTCCTTGAAAATGATAAAAAATGATAGAACAATGAGAGATGCACATAAATTATTATGGGACAAATAAAACTTAGAGGAGAAAAATCTCAGCTTATATACCAAGTCAAATATTTTGCTGTCATCTTTAGAGATTTCAGTGTCATTTAAAACATCTTTTAATTTGCTTACCATATACCAAGTGATATTTGGTTTCACAGTGGAAGGGAAAAATCCATCTACATTTGGACAAGTGATACTTTGTATACCATATTCCAGATAAAATCTATGCACTGGGAGTCTCATGGGAGATCGATAACAGTTATCTTTTGGCACAACCTCCAGAGGAAATGCAACTTTGCTGCAGTATGTTGTATTTCTGAAAACAGAAATAGGCGATGAATAAGTCTCACTTGCATTTTATAGAATACAAACACAATTAAGCAAAATAATGTATTAAGAATTCATTTATGTATATAAATTCATATATGGATCAATAATGTCATGGGACTATTTCCCATACCAAAGAACCTCATAGCACACAGATACATGAATTATAATTGAAGTAAATTTAATAAAATTTTTAGATATATATGTGCCTAAGTTTGAATGTCTTGTGTATAAATATATGTGTACATGCACATATTCTCCACCATTATTGAGAATATGCTTTTACGTTCATGTGGACATATACAAATATGACCTAGTGTTCATAGTGGAGATTATATTTTTGAATATATTCTTGTATACATATTATAAGTTTAGGCACATATCTAAATTATATGTGAAATGAAAAAAATGTATATATACTCGTATACACTCAGTTCTATGGGATCAGATGTGAAAATAACAAATTAGTTCATAGATAATATTAACAAGTTTTGGGAAATACACATACTTCCAGAATTATTTATGTAAATCTTAATTTTTGTCCTAGAAATCCCATTTTGAGAATAAAGTCTAGAAACCTGGAAAAGGGAAGTAAATTATTGCACATTTTTTAAAAGTGTATTTAGTGCTTAATCAACAAGGAAAACTTTAAAATCAATAGAACAATCAATCAAAGACCAAAAATAATACTGATACAATCATTTAAAGTTGTTGCACATATCTACAAAACAATGAAGCATAAAGAATAAATCCCAAACATATAAGACCAAGAAGAACTGTATTTATATTTATATTTTTGACATATTTACAGCTTGTTTGGTCTCCTCTCATCATCCTACTTTTCACACAGAGATAGTCTACATTATTCTCTACCCACTGTATATCTAAATTAGATTTATTATTTTCTAAGCGCCCTAAAGAATTCCTTGATTCTTTTTTTTACACTTCATCTAGAATGTGACTATGTATATTTTCTTTTATTATCTGCATCTAGCACAATATTTGAACTTCCAGCAGGTACTAAATCAAAATTTATTAAATTAATTTGATGGATATAAAATACACTGGAAGATAACAAATGGGACATAAATTATAAAAATAACTGATATTTTAGGTAGATGTTCATGCACAGGTCATTCTTTGGTGATTTATAGTTTATGAGTCAAACGTATATTAGAGATTCAATGATTCATGAACAAAGTTAACCATAGTGGAAGATGAGGGGGGATATATTCCACTTCTCAGGACAAAGAGAGGAGGTGTAAGGGATGACTGACAACAGAGAGGAGGGTGGAAAGTGAAGATGGCAGGAATGATCTCTATTTACAAATCACACAAGTTTTTCTAGATAGAAGCATATTTTATAGGAGGAATTAAAAAAAACAAATTGCTCTTTAAGAAATATATTTTACAATTAAGGAAAAAAGTGATTAACAGTGATGAGATTGAATTTACTGGTCCCACCCAAACATCATCCTACAAGGGTAGTGAAGCAAGAATTTAATCAAGGGGCTAGGGTGACAATACAACAGGTTGGACGGTCACGGTCCTCCCGTTGTTCATCGATTTGCTCAAGCGGGCCCAGTAACGTCTCCATCATGAGACTTGTTGTTACTGTGTTTGGCATATTGAATACGTCACAGGTAGCTTGCCAGGCTCTGCCATGCAGGCGAGATACTCTCGGTAGCTTGCCAGGTTCTCCGAGAGGGGCGGAGGAATCGAACTCGGGTCGGCCATGTTGTCTGTGTGCAAATCAAACGCCCTACCGCTGTGCTATTGCTTCAGCCCAACAGTTTGGACAATGGCCTTTTTTTTTTGCAGCCAACCCAGAAACAGGAGCAAGCACTGAGCCACACTGGGTATGACCTCCATGCAACAAAAACAAAAAGAAAAAAAAAAGGAAAGAAAAAAAGTTTTTAAAAGGAGAAGAATACAATTTAGTAAAATGTTGAAATTTTAGTGCATAGTTATCAAACCATATGATTTCAAATTACTCTAATTCACTCTTCATTTAGAAATGATCTAAGAGCGATAGCACAGCGGTAGGGCGTTCGCCTTACAAGCGGCCAACATGGCCGACCCGAGTTCGATTCCTCCGCCCCTCTCGGAGAGCCCGGCAAGCTACCGAGAGTATTCGATATGCCAAACACAGTAACAACAAAGTCTCCAATGGAGACGTTACTGGGCCCGCTCGAGCAAATCGACGATCAACGGGAGGGCCTTTTAATATCATTATTTGATAAGTTCCATTTTTACTTTCCTTTAAAAATATTTTATTAAAAATTTTAAATAAATCATATTTTATTTTTCTAAAGTAAAACTACCACTATTGTTTTATATTGCAGTGCTTCTGTGCAATTCCTAACACTATTATTTCTAGGTTTTCTTCAGAAACATAAGGAAAAAGGTAAACTGAAGTGATCTGAAACTAGAAATTGTTCAGTCATATGAAAGTTATACTTAAACTTTAATCATGAAATTTATTTCTGTAAAGTCAAATATAGTTAGAAACATATAAGTAAGTGTTCTACATAAGTTGTGGGCTTCCAAGGAAGTGGAGAAAAATCAAGATACTACCATGCACAGAAGAGAACAGGACGATACAAAAATATTAAAGACCTTTGGCCAAATATTGATTGATATACAGTAGAAAGTGTAGATTGATTAATAATTGTCAAGGATAGAAAAAAAACTCAAAAGAATAGGTAGGCCACTTTTGCTGTTGTGAAGCTATCAAAATTCTTAGCTATGGATAGGACTTACTTAAGGTTATCAGCAAGGAAGTAATAGAGCTAGAATGGGGGGCTCATTTTTCTGTCTTTTCATTTAATGTTGTTTCCACTACAAAATGATGTAGTTTGTCCTACAAAGCCACAGTAAGATATAAATAATGAGAACATGAGTAACTCAGGGGCCCGTTAACCCACATAGGGCTAGAGTTCATTCCAGTAAAATGCAAGTATTAGAAGAAATTCTCAGAATGATTTTTAGAGGGTAAAAAGAAATCCCAGAGTTTTAATGATCAAAACACTTTTTTTGTGATAAAAATATCTCCTTTTCAACTTAATCATCACAAAGTCTAAGAATATTAAAGCATAGTCAGTTCACCAGAAGAGAATACTTAACATTCATAACAGACCAGGGATTTATAAAAGATGGTCTGAAGTCGCCTATTGTCATGTTATTCTATGTTGTTTCATCACTACTATTTAGCTAATAGTTATGCAATGAACAGTAGTTCCCTCCAAATTCACAAGTTGAATTCCCCTTGTCTTAGACTGTAATTGTATTTGAAGTTAGATCTACTTAAAAAGGTAATAAAAGTGAAAATAAGTCATTGATGTGAGTATGAATTTATTATGACTGAAGTTCTTATGAGAACTGGAAAGTGGGACCCACAAGAGATAGTGGATAGACAATTTAAATCTCTGTAGCTGTGCTTCCATCAGTCAAGAAGAGATAAATACAACCCCACATACACCTTGATCTTAAATGCTAACCTCTAGAACAGCAAGAGAACAAATTTCTGTTACTTAATCTGCCCAGTTTGAGATATTTCTTTATTGCGTCTCTGCAAGTCAATTAATATACTAAGTAGTAGAAAAACTATGGAGCAATAGCACAGTGGGTGGGACACTTGCCTTGCATGCACCAATGTGGGTTTAGTCCCCAGCAACACATATGGTCCCCTGATCCTGCCAGGAGTGATTCCTGAGCACAGAGCCAGGAGTAAGTCCTGAGTACCACAGGGTAAATTCACAAAACAAACAAACAAAAAAAGAATTAAAAAAAAGAGACAATGCACAAGAATAAAATCCCTAACCTAGGTGAAGTTCAAAATATAAAGTAAAACCTAGAAGTTAAAAGGAGAGTTTGGGATATGGCATCTTCAAGAAACTATTTGTAGCAAGAGAAAATGAGGTAGTACATTGTGGAGTGAAATGCAAACCTATATAAACTTCTAAAAACAAAATGGATTTGAAAGACATTTTGCAATAATAGCGTGGACTTTAGGGTTATATTCTTAGATTTACTTCACTAGGGCTTTTCTTTTTCTTCCTTCCTTCCTTCCTTCCTTCCTTCCTTCCTTCCTTCCTTCTTTCTTTCTTTCTTTCTTTCTTTCTTTCTTTCTTTCTTTCTTTCTTTTCAGCCATTGTGATTTACAATAATTTTAATGTCTATATTTCACACACACAGCATCCTAACATCATATCCTACACCAAAATGCCCCATTTAACCCTTTCTGATTACCTCTCTCCCAGCCCACCACAGAAAGCTCAATTCTGTAGATCAATTTTCCGGTTCTGTTGCCTTTGATGTTTGGAACAAAAAAATGGTCATAGGGGAATTTTCTTATGAAAGTTTGTCAAAAATTGCTCTCAAAACATTTATGCCTCCCGAAATATTTTTCTATCAACATATTTGAGTTTTTTTTTTATCTTATTCCAGATATTTTATTGGGAAAGTTTGTCAAAAATTGCTTTCAACAAATTTGATGCCTCTGGAAATATTTTTTTCTAACAACATATTTAGACTTTTTTATCTTATACCAAGTATTTCCAAGTGATCCCAAGAATAATAGCTACATATTGATTTGAATTTGTCTAGAGTAACAGATACCTTTAGCTGGGCAAAGGTTTAAGGGCAAGAAAAATGAGACGTATGAATAAGGCTTTACAAGAGACAACCTTGAAATATGCCAGGGTTTGCAAAGAAACCACTTATGGAGAATGTTCTCAAGAATACAACCATTTTTTTTTCTGCCCACTGCTCACAGTCAATCTTAGCACAACCATGAGGTGAATTTTCACTCTTCTTTCCTCTCTTTAGTTTCATAGAACATGCAGCATCTCTGCAGTGTTAGGACCTAGAGAAAAACGAGAAAGTCACCACCAGGAGGCAGGGTACCTCAACATGCAGGTATAGTTGCCGGTGTCATTGAGGAGGGTAGGCCTGAACCAGAGGACATCTTTCTCCTTACTGATGCGGTTCTCAGGGAGACGAAAGTTAATTGGCTCCTCCAGGTCTCGGTCTTGCCTTGTCCAGTACCAGATCAGAGTAAGACCAGCAGAATGGGCTGTGGTATAGTTATATTTCAAGAAGTGCTCAAAGAGTGGGCACTTGATGCGAGCTGGCTCATCTTCAAACACTTGGATCTGCCTCATGGTATCTAGTCCCCAGTCATCACAGCGCTCTGTAACAACCAACAAGAAATTAAAGACAGTTAAATCTCCTCCAGGTAAAGATTTCCGTAGAATACACCTTTCCCTCCGAATACCCATTCTCCCCCCCATCCCCGCCCCAAGCAGCCCTTGTTTTGAGAACTGCAACAGTCTCACTAATAGATATAATAATTGTGCTTTATAATAGACAAGTGTGATGTGAATAAATAAATGACTTTCCCCTTCATCTGTTCTCTCACTCTATCTTGGATAATGAACAATTTGATTTGATAACTTGACGCTGCTAATCTTATAAGGTGTGAGGTGAGATGTGTCTCTCGTGAAAAATAAGCTACTAACTCCTTCACTCTTGTAGGGACAGAGGAGTTTCTGAGGAGGAAACTGCAACTGAAAATACGATAGTCTGAAATACCTAGTGTTCTTATTTGGGAGCTAGAATTGCACTACCCAACAGTCAAAGCTCACAGTTTCATATACAATTTAATGTGCCTTCTTGCCACATTTTAAAAAAATGTAAAGAAATAATATAAAATCCCAATGTTACAAAGCTAGGCACATCCAAATATTCCCCAAACATTAAACTATTTCATATTTACATTGTTTTCTGTATGAAACATTCAATATATTTTACACTTACAGCACAGCAATGAATTATGTAACACTTATATAAAACATACATACAATTTATGCCAAATAAGTTTCATATATTAACTTGTCAATGGTTGGAATCAACACAAGAGTGTGAGGGGTGGCGGGTAGGTAAGTTAGAGAAAGGGACAGTATGACAATGAAGTGGAAATGATCACATTGGACAAGAATTGAGTGCGAAAAGTAGGTAAAGGGATATACATGATAACCTTTAAGTATCTGTACTGCAAACCGCAATGGCCTTAAAGAGGGGGTATCATGGGTGAGGAGAGAGACAGAGAGACAGAGATACAGAGAGACTGGGAGAAGAAAAGCATCTGCCATAGAGGCATATTGGAGGGTGAGGAGTAATGGAAGGGAAACTGGGGATACTGGTGCTGGGAAATGAACACTGGTGGAGGGATGGGTGTTGAAACACTGTATGACTGAAACCTAATCATGAACATCTTTGTAAGGGTCCATCTCACAGTGATTCAATAAAAAAAAATTAATGCCAAATATAACAATTTGAAAGGATATACTTAATGTCATATTATAAGAAAATACATTTTTAAATAAAATGACTATACCACTCTTAATTATATTAGCCAACTACAATGAAATAAAGATTTATCATATACCATTATCCTAAAAACAAGAAAGCGGGACTGAGAGACAGTTCAAAAATTCTGGATTTTTGTCATGAGTAATTTACAACCTGAGTTTGGGCACATGTGCTGCATGGACCCCATGAGTAACACCACATATGGTCCTGCAAATGCTTAGGAGCACTGGAACTGAGCAGCAATACATCACTGGACCTAAGATTTGAATGATCTAACCTGGTTGACCAAGTATGCCAGGGAGAGGCCTGGGGCCCCAGAGAGCACTGCTTGGGATGAGCCTCCAATGCCAAGACAATTTCCTTTTAACCACTGGCAATTCTATACATTTCCTTGTTCTTTTAAAAAATATATTAATTCTGCTTTCTTCTCCATATATGATTTTACTTTGATAAAATTTACTTTCATAATTTGATAGTTCTCATTGCTGTTATTATTCCTCATTCTGTTTTATAGGGGCTTCTGAATAGAACTAAGGATTCCAGGACCACTTCTAGCAATATTTGGCAACTGCAGCATGGACTTGATGGTTTGTTGCTTTACTGTTGCTTAGTTGGTGGTAGTGGGACCACCGTGTCTATACCTGGTGGAGCTAGAAAAACCATGGGTGCTGGTGACTAAACCCAAGGCTTAAGGATGGAAGAAAGCACTCACTCTACCCCTTTGACCTATTTCTCCACCCTGATGGAGTTTTTGCTTTTTAATATTTTTCTCAAATTTACTGATTTGTATAATACATAATTTTTTAATCGCAAAAATGGCCTTTCTTCTAAAATAAATTTTATGATAATGCATTCATAACTTAAATAAAATATATTTAACTTCACAAGAAAATATTAAATGTAAAATTGTCCTGGAAATAATATCTTTGTGCTCACTTGGATGGACTACTTAAAAGACTTAGAAGCGATAGTTATTATTTATTTTTTTAAAATGTATGTGTTAAATACTAAAGAATTTGTCCATTATCAAGAACAAAATAAACTTAGTTCTAGTGAGATCAATAAATTCAAGAATACTGAAATACTGTTATATCTCACCCAAATACAGAATTAGTTCAACCAAAATTCTGTCAAGTAGTTGGGACTTACTAAAAGATTGAATTCCTATTGATCAACTAACACCTAAATGGAAAGAACTTTAACAAGCTCTCTTAAGCACCCCACTGCTGTAAAACTTATTGGAATTTCTAGTTGGATTCTATTTTTCCAGAATAAAATCAGCTCCATCTATGTCATCCAGCAATCAGTCTGACAGAAAATGGATCAGACTATTGCTATGAACCCAATGAGGACTTAAAACTTCCTTTAAAGAAAAACAAGACTAATAAATAGCAATATTCCTACATTTAAAATAAAAGAAAAACAAGACTTCACTCTTCCATTCTTAAAGCTAACTAATGAGGCTTTTTATCTGAAAATGTCTTTGTAGAAGGTAAGAGAGACAGGAGTGGGGGCTGGAGCAATATCACAGTGGGTGGGGTGTTTGCCTTGCATGCAGCGACCCGGGTTTGAGCCCTGGCATCCCATATGTTCCCCCAAGCAACCCCAGGAGTAATTCCTGAGTGCAGAGGCAGAAGTAACCCCTAAGCATCGCTGGGTGTGACCCAAAAAGATGAAAAGAAAAGAAAAGAAAAGAAAAGAAAAGAAAAACCAAGAGAAACAGGAGCTAACAAGTTGTTTTCCAGCAAACACACCAGAATACAAAGGAAAGAAAAGAAAAGCTTATCCTAAATCCCTTATTTTCTTGCCTTCCCTGGATAAGAGAAAGTGGAAAATCTTTTACTATTCTCCTCCGGAACCTAATTTTATTTTTTTACGTTGTTGTCTAATATATATCTGTCACTGTCACTGTCCTCCCGTTGTTCATCGATTTGCTCTAGCGGGCCCAGTAATGTCTGCATTGTGAGACTTGTTGTTATGGTGTTTGGCATATGGAAGCTACATCATGGGTAGCTTCCCAGGCTTTGCCTTGCAGGCACAATACTCTCAGTAGCTTGCCAGGCTCTCCAAGAAGGGCAGAGGAATTGAACTCTGTTCGACCAGGTCGGCCGCGTGCAAGGCAAATGCCCTACCCGCTGTGTTATTATATATTATATAATCTATATTATATATATATATATATATATATATATCAATCTAATATATCTGATTGCTTTTTTATGAATGACACTCCCAAACCCAACAGACTATTGTCTGGGCCTTATTAATACCTGGCATAAAATTTCACTCCCTCACATGTTCAAGTTTTTTGTCAGGAGGGAGAGGAGGACAAAGAAGAAAAGGAAGAGAAGAAGGAAGAAGCTTTTTACTGGGAGGTTCTGGTACTGAGTTTTCTGGAAATAATAAACTTTTATTTTCCGCCCTGAACTAGCCCAAAGGAATGAGGAACACATCTCTTTGAGATGCAAATACCGGGCTCTTTGCAGATGCAGAAATCTAGGTTGCATCTAGACAATGGTGGATTTGGAAAAGGAGAAGCTATGGGAGAATCTAAAGGTCATGATAAGAATATGAAAGGATCACCAGGGACCAAAGCTTTCCCTCTGACAACACCCAGTTTAACTTTTTGTTATGCAGAGAACTCCAGGTCAACAAAATTGGAGGAACTGTATATGTCCTCTCCAAAAAGCCATTCTCTGCCTTTGGTTTCCCAGTCTGGAGACCCTTGTGTCCCCTGTGTATCTCTTTTTTCTCTCCTTATATTTCTCTAAGTAAATTTCTCTGAATAAAATGATTTAAGTTATTTTAAAAATCAATCATTCTGTGTGCTCCCCACCTTCTTTATTTTACCAACAACATAGTAATTTAATGACTGTCTTGACAACTGAGAGCTCAAAAAACATGTAATTCTCATTCCCTGCTTGAGAATATTGACCTTCTGCACCTTGATGCCACTTAGCCTTCCAAATGAAACTAGAGTCAATTTTCTCATTTCTTCAATTTAAGCCACCCTTGCCATTTACATTGGCTAATAACATGGCAAAACTAATGTGTGTTAATCCCAAATTTAGAGGCTATAAGTCTCTTCTCTTTTTTTCTGGAACGCAGACCCCACTAGAGTTCAAACCTAGTGCTAAATTCTATATGTTTGGATTGCCTACGGTGGAGATTTGCTTTTGTCAAGAACCTCTAGGAAGAATAAGGTCATGATTTGTTAAAAGTGCGGAGTTGACCACTCCTCAAGAACAGAGAACAGAGCCAATAATGCAAATCACACAGGGAGGTTTATTGTTCCAGCTAGCTGAGGTCCAAGTACCCACCTGATGCAGCAGACTAGCACTAGGTTCAGTAAGTTTTTATACTTTCAATTTGGCAAGTCAGCTTTACTCAGCAAATTTCGATTACCTTACGGAGTACACATACATTTTTGTTGTTGTTTTGGCCCACGACATCCAGCCCACCTCCTCGCGAGTTACATTCCCCAGACTAATCTTATTCCAGAGATGTAATCTTTGACAAAAGCATCTGGTTTTTCTGCTTTTCTTGTTCCTGAAAGAAGCCTAAGTCACTCAGAAGGCCACAAAGCCTGTCATGGCAGTTCTCCGGCTAAGTGCCAACAGATTGAAGAGTCTTTGTGGTTGAATGAGATGGTGTTAGTGGCACCCTGTCTCTTATCTGTCAGTGTCTCTCTCTACCATGTAATAATATGAGGGGTGGGGGGCGTGGAGGAGGAGGAGGCAACCATCTGCAAAACAAGCAAAACTCTTCTTCAGATATGAATCTGCAGATATGAATTTCCGGTCTCCTGAACTGTAAGAA